AAAAGATGTGTATTTTCAAAAAGTCAAGAATCAAAGAGCAAAAATCTTGTTATTAATCAAGTCATCTTTAAGAGATAGGATGAGAGCGAAGACAACAAATGTAATTTATGATTTTTCACGATCAATATCATGTTTTCCAGGGCTCTGCTGGTACCAACGGGGTCAAAGGTGACAAGGTGACTACTCAAGCAGAGACATATATCCGTTTAACTGCGTTAATATTAATGGATTTTTTAAAAATTGTATTCATATCATTTTTGTTGCCAGGGGGAAGTTGGTGTTGGTGTGCCTGGTCCCAGAGGAGAGAGAGGAGATCCAGGCCCCAGAGTAAGACATCGGTCGCTCTGTAATATCACTGGAAATTGTGATCTAATATGAATTTGCCTCTGGAGGATGGAAACTAAGAGTGACATGGTTGTATGTCTTCTTTTGTCTGTCATTGCTGTAGGGCGAGGAGGGACGAGCTGGCGTGGACGGGGAAAGAGGCTCAACTGTAAATAGCGAATGTTTTCCTTTCAATCCATCACTCAAGAAACACAACAGATATCGACAGACAGACAAGCGTCAAGCTTTCAGGATCTGCTTCAGGGTTCTGCTTTTAAAATGCCCAATCCATCAGGAGACAGTCTGCATGGAGGCATAGAGGGAAAAACAGCTGTATAAGATTGTTTTTTCCCATGTGGTTATTATGGAGGAGCTATTCTTTTCCAAGGACAATGCTTTTCTGAGACGATTAACTGAGTATACTGTTGATCTTCTAGTGTTGCAGTACAATATTTCAAAGCAATGTCAACAGGAGTGTAGTCGTCCTGTGATCACTGAGATATTTTATTGAAAACTTATGGGTAGGAACATTCATGGTCTTTATGATGATGATGATTTTTATTATTATCATTATTATTTTATAACCATAAATAATAAAGCATGTGTGTGTCTGTGTGTTCATCAGGGTCCCCCAGGGACTCGTGGTGCTCGTGGAGAGAAGGTGAATACCATCAGTTATTTTCTCACTGCAATTGCCCTCATGTTTAAGCAGCTGTAACTGCATCCCCTGCTCCTCTATTGCAATGAAACATATTGATGTGCTGTCAATCTTTTTATTTCAGGGAGACCTCGGACTTCAAGGTGACAAAGGAGAGAAGGTGTGGACAATTTAATATCTAATAAGCTCCACTGCTGCTCACTCTTCTCTCTCTTTGTTTATTACCTCTGCCCAGGAGATTATGTTTTCATTTGCATGTGTTTGTCAGCAGCATACACAAAAAGCACAGGACGGATTACCATGAATCTGGATGGAAGGATGTATTTGGTTAAAATACAGATCAGGGGGTGGAACCACTTTCTTTCTCTTTCTGTTGCTTTTTATTCACTCCAGAGGATGTTTTTTTTCATTTTTGTTGATTTCTCAGTGAATTTTGTTTGAATAGTGATTTAATAAAACTCAGACATATTTAGGAGGTCAATATCAATGAGTATGTGCATTTTCATGTGGATCCATATAAAGTCAGGATCTAGTGGATTTAATATATTGATTATATATGATTTCATATAAGGTGTAGGCTGTTTTCAGCCACTTTATGGTAGAAACCTGTAACTTCTTAGCTATAAGGCTTGTTTTAATTTAAAAGGACTGTTGGCCCTTGCAGAGGTATGAGTGCCATTATTGTTTTGCTAAATCCAACAGTGATACAAAATGGAGATAAGACATATATTGTTGGAAGTGGCTGTTTTGAAAGAGCTCTGTCAGAAGATTTACTGTATTATGAGGAGGAGAAATATGAGTAAACACAAGTTTAAACTCAAGTTTCTCTCAGTACAGCATAAGGCCAAACAATCGTAAACATATCTGTTGTATAATATAAAAAGAAGCAGTTTGAGAACCTGCACCAGATTGTACATTGCCTCCTATGAATAGTTGTTCTGTCTTGTATATTTGTCCTGTGACACGCTGGCGACCTTCAGCTAACCTCAAACAGGCCCCAACGGATAAGTGGGTGGATGGACGGACATTTCAACTTTTTACGTGATCCTGCTGACAGATAAACAAAAAATTTAAGCAACAAGACGTTTAAAAAATTACCTCCTTGGCAGATCTAATAAACTGTGATACTAAGTGACACAGCTTCAGGAAATAGCAACAAGATGAAACATCGTGCATTGATGTTTTGGCTTTGGGATGAAAATGTTAACAGCTGTACGTTTCCTCACAGGGGGATACTGTGCTGGTGGGAGGACCTGCTGGAGAAAAGGGCAACAAAGGCGAAACAGTGAGTGAATTATAGTAAAATTAGTAAAATGACAATTATAATCCATATTCTTACATGTTTGGTTTTCATTTTAGGGTGACAGGGGACCCAAAGGTGTGCAGGGAGAAAAGGGGGTGAAGGGTCAAGAGGGACCTCCAGGACAACAGGTAAATTATTATGTCTTATTGTAACAGAGGTGATAGTTTTCATATTTAATTATCTAATAATAAACTAATGAGGAAATAACTGAAAATAGTGAAAAATGCAGACGTGAATTTCCAGAAGCCCAAAATGTCATATTCACTCTGATTGTTTTGTTCACCAGTCGTCTAAAAATCAGCCTATAAACCAGAAAAAGTGGGATTTGTGACAGTTTGAAGCTGAAACCAGAAAATATTTCGCATTTATTTTTCTTCTAATAAAGTAAACATTTATTATAAAATTATCAAACCTGTTTTCAATGTAATTTACTGTATTTACTTGAAGTTTATTACATTAAATCGCTTATATAGTGAATCTGAAGGCCAAGCAGTCTGAGGCAGTGATGCTAATGAAGCACCTTAGATGAAATGTGTGTTGATATTATGAATTATTAACATATACATATGTCTGTATGTGTGTATTTAACATCAGGGTCTGAGGGGAGAACCAGGAGAGAGAGGCTCCGTTGGGTTCCAGGGTGCACGTGGCCCTGGGGGACAGAAGGTGAGTGACACTGTGCCATTTAGCTGTGATTAAAATCAGAATCATAATTAAAAGCAAAGCCAGTCAGTGCATCGTCAGAGCAGGTAATAGTGTCGCTGTTTTAATTACTGTAATTCTGTTTTCTCGCTACAGGGAGAAGCTGGTCAGCCTGGAGTACCCGGTGAATCGGTCTGTGCTTTTGCTTCCATCCAAACACAACTTCTTCATTTCTTTATGTTGTTTTCTCTCTGTGATGTTCAGACGTGAAAGATTTCTGTTTTCTCTTCCAGGGTTTTTCAGGAAAAGATGGGCTGTCAGGACACAAGGGCGACAAGGGAGAGCTTGGTATCGTAGGAATGAGAGGAGTGAAGGTATTTTCACTGTTTGTGAGGCAGTTTGTCTTCATTCTTTGTGGTTTTAACATTGGAGAAGTTTTCACAGGTTGGTGAAGACAGTCACAAACCAACAACAGCATAACATTGATACGATTGCAAAGGATTAATGCAAATTGTATAATGAATCTACATAGACAGAAGACTTGCTTACACCACAGCTTTGTGTATGATAATTAATGTCTAAAATTAGAGTTGAGACTGAATTCCCATTTCATTTGAATTCTGTTTGAATCACTGAACCAGTCACAGGATGTGGGAGATGATTCACAGGGGAAGACGACTAACATGTCTCTGTCCAAAGATTAATGATGAACTCAAATATAATAAGTAATAAGTATAAAAACTACAATCCACTGTTTTAGATGAGGCTAAGTACAGGGCGACATGTTTGAGCAGTAACTTTCTGGAGACTGGTTTACTGGCAGGTGGTCAGAGACAAGTAAGATATAACATTATATAATGAAGTGATTGATGGAATTTGTCATCTTTACACAGGACCAGGCTAGCTGTTTCCCCCCCGTTACCAGTATTCATGCTAAGCTAAGCTGACTGCCTGTTTCATAGACTGCATGGAGTGGAAGTCAGAGGTTCTGTTGAAATATAAGCTTGACCAATCAGGAGTCAGTCTCAGTTGTCAGTCTTGTTTTTATATCATCAAATAAAAAATTCAAACCAAATTACCCGTAAAATAAACACTGGGACATAGATCAGCTTAAAAAACACCTGAAATCACAATCACAACCATCTTTGAGAAAAAAAACTGAGAATTGACTTGTACTTTTACTTTTTGGTTCATTCCACGTCATATCTTCTGACATGGAGGAGGCATGATATATGACCCTAGTGTAAACAATCTGCAGAAATATTTCGCTTCCTTGACAAAATGTCCTGGGATATAAAGTTCAAGCGACTTTTGGTCAAAAACGCAGCTGTAGTTGGTACAAGGACATGTGTTCTTAATCTCACACCCCATCTATAAAGGTATTTTTAATCTCCTGTATTGAAACAAAGTAAACTTTAACTTTGTAATATTGAGGTGTTATGAAGTATAACATGCAGAATGGGAGTGCAGGATATTTCCTGCCCCATGCTCCCTGTCTTTACCATTACTCTCACGTTAATGTATATAACCTTTAGCATTAAAGCTGCATCACATCCGCTGTTGTATGGAGCTTTTTTGCAAAATGTGGTTCACTGTATGTAGAAGTGCACTTGATCCAGCCTGTGTGGCGGGTCAGTGTATGGATGTATGGATGTCCTCTCTGATGGGTTTTGAGCATTTTGTCTTTTTGTCAGTCACCACTCTGTTTGAAACACGGTTTTCTGTCAGTTATATACTTATATGTTTCCAGGGTGACCGAGGACCCAAGGGGGCTTGTGGTGGCGAGGGACCCAAAGGAGAGAAGGTGAGTTTAAGACAGAAGAGCGGTGCATTGTAGGAAGAGGACACGAAACAGCTTTTAATCAAACTGTGGGATTTTTAATTATATTTTATAATATCTAATAAACAGAAGCATGTTTAACATTTGAGTGTTAACTGCCTGTATTTGAGGCTTGTGAGTGAATAAATAAATAATTTATCGATATTATATGTTAACCTTGAATAAATGTAGTGAGTCAGACTTGTATGAGTCATATATGGCGTGGTAAGTAAAATTAAATGTATGAATCTCAGGGGGATGCTGGTATTCATGGACGATCTGGCTTACCAGGAAGAAAAGGTGAACAGGTATGACTCATGCATACAGCATGCATCATGTGGTGTGTCAGATGTCTTAATACGATTTTTAAAGATTGGCTGCATTTTTTCAGGGGGAAGTCGGACCCTCTGGAGCCCCTGGGAGTACCGGAAAAGAAGGACTAGTGGGCCCCAAGGTATGCACTGTATAATTATAAACCTATTAGTGCAAAAACCCTCTCTTGGAGTGAAGTATAACTACTTTCCTTTGTCTTTGTAGGGAGATCGTGGGTTTGATGGGCTCGCGGGACCCAAAGGAACTCAGGGAGAGAAAGGTGAAAGGGTGAGTTCGTAAGCTAGACTTCTCTAGCACTGTTTTCATTCAGGTCTAAAAGTAACCTCATGACAATCACACTATACTCTAGTAATCTTCAGATTCTGCAGCATTACTCATCCTCACAATCACAGGAAACCTACGCTGTTTTCATTCAAGAACTGAAAGAAAGAAAGCAAATTGCGTATGAACATTTTCCAGAGTTTCTCACAAACTGCCCCTCCGAACATATATCAGGAAAATATCTGCATTTCAGTGCATGTCTGAAAGCAGCTCACATGTAATTAACCATCTCTGTGCTTCATGTAGGGAGCGCCTGGTGTGCCAGGCCCACCTGGTCTCAGAGGAGTGGACGGGGCCCCCGGCCTGACTGGTTCTCAGGGACCGGCTGGTGCTAAAGGCCCTGAGGGGCTTCAGGGACAGAAGGTAAATATTCATACTGTGGTTTGATTATGGCTTATTTCTACACTATGGTCCAGTTTTCTCTTTGTAGGTCGAGGTCTATTGAAGGGAACACAGGATAGGACATAGTGGCATTTAAATAATGGCTTGTTACATCAGCAAATGAATGCAGCATCGGTTATGAGCACCGCTTTGATGGTGATCCAGCAAAGAAGCACAGTATTTGAAAGCAGTAAAAGTATTAATTATTTCACTAAGTGATGGCACAAAATAGCAGCTGTCAGAGATGTCTGAGCGGAGCAATGGCAACCAAGATGAAACTCTTATTTTGACATAAAAAGCTTTGACATTAAAGTATGATGAGACTGATATAAACAGAATACAGACCTTTTCATTTCCTTTGAGCTTGTTCTCTTCTTTCTTCTTCACCTGTCTGATGGTTTTGATTGGAGACAGTAGGTGACAGGAGAGCAGGACCTTATCCACTCTTTGTGATCAAGGCATCTTTTGTCAGACATATTTGATTCAGTCTAAATCTATAACTTAATGAAACCAGTATTTTTCTGTTGTACATTGTGAGAAGCAGGCAGAGCATACAGTATGTTCTTCTTATGCAGTGGAATGGAAGAAGTAACTTAAATAAGAATGCTACTCAGTAGAGCGCATACTTCCACCAAAGGCCAACAGTCCCCGTAGATTCAATCACACTACATCACATTTCACACACTCATGATATCAGTTCTCTATAAATGCCTTTTTTCATCAACTTATAATGATCCATGCATTATAGAGGGTTGAGTCCTCCTGCGGCAGCCGCAAGACTAAAACATTAACAAAGATAAACAGAAAAAAACTGTAAATATATAATGATACATTGTATAAGAGAAATACTGTATAATAATTAATAAGCTGTTATTGAAAGAATACTCCATGTACAGCTTCTGCAGATATTTCTACTTTTCAGTTCATCATAGGTACTGCATGTGCTCAGTAGAAAAAATAAAGTTGTTACATACTACTTATATCTAGTATATTTAAGACATCATTGCCATGTAACAGAACTGCATTATGACTGTACAAAAGTCTTGCAAAATTGGTAAAATTAACTTTCGTTAGTCTTTGCAAGTGAACACCACATGTCCAGACACTATATATGCATGGACCTTTATTGTTGTTTTTGTGTGAGAGCCTTTTGTTCACTGTTTCATTTTTTTTATTTACTCGTAATTGTTCGTTGTTTATTTTGTGTGTGTCAGGGAGAGAGAGGACCAGTCGGCCCCTCCATGGTGGGTCCACGTGGTACCCCAGGTATCTCGGGGGAGAGAGGAGAGCAGGTTAGTGCCACATTGTCTCCTTCTGTATGATTGTTTCCATCGTCCTCGGAAAGGAACTAATGCTGAGGTCAGGAGATTTCTATTACAAAAAAAATCTTAAAACCATTACAGTGACAGCTCTGAGTTTCTCATTTCATGACCTGCCAAACGCAGTTTTCTCAGGGAGGCTGGATTTCCCTGCTCTCGTGATCCCCTCAGCAAATGGCTTTGTCGCTCTGACAGTTACATTTGTACGCACAGAAAACTAGTTATTTAAAATGACAACCACATATTGTGAAAGCTGTTTGAGGACACAGGTCATTAAACCAGACATAGCAATTTTTTTTATGTGTCTGTAGGAGTCACTATTTTAGATTTAACCATTCACTTTGACTTTGCATTTAGTTCTTGAGCTGCATCTAGTCTCAGTTTAATGTTTTAATGTGTGACAAGCCTCTCTGTGGGTCACGTGTGCCCTGATACCTGTCCATGTTGCAGGGAGAGATGGGGCCAGATGGAGCCAAGGGAGATAGAGGAGAGCCAGGCATGACGGTCAGTGCTTGATCCTTGCCGTGGGGCACAAAGACGTTGTTACATACAAACACACACACACATACACACACGTACACATGAGTTGATGTTGGGATTGTGTTTTGTCATGTTTTCCCTCTTTATTTTGAATTCAGGAGCATGAGATCAGAGATTATGTTCGCTCCGAGATGAGTCAGCACTGTGGTGAGTCTTTCACGCAGCCTGCATCGCTAATTTCTAAAAGTGTTGTCCCCTCGTTGAACTTCAGATGGTAATCACAGCATATGAGTCACAGCCTTAGCTCAACTCTATGAAAGTGTAATTTAAATAAATGCGTAGAGAAATACAGCGATGACATTTCATTTAAAACTGACCTTTATTATTCCCTCTCTTTCTGCTGCCTTCCTGTCCATCTGTCTGATCCTCAGCGTGCGGAGGTGAGTGAGCCGTTCGACTGCAGCAGCGGAGAAGAATGTGGACAGAAGGGCTGTGATTTAGCATGAGTCACAGCGGCATACTGTATCACATATGCTGCTGCAGAGTCTGTCGCTCTCTTTTAATAATACATTTTTAAAAAGACGGAAGTGCATTTGCCCTCGTTTTGCAAATGTGGCCCGATCACTTAAACACACAAATGCACACAAAGACAATCAAGGGAATTCATGTCTGTTTGCATTTGTTTAAACAACAGAACACAACAGTATGAAACACATTCCCAGTCCAGGTTCTTTTCCAGAATCATATTAATACAATCTGAAAATTGAAATATCTGCTGCTGTGTGGGTTTGTGTGATGTTTCTAATTCTGTCTTTTTGAATTTGTTGCAATTTACAGTGATGTATTTAAAGTCTTTGTCATTTTAATTAATAATTTATAGTTTATATTAATAGAGACATTTTTATTTTCATGGTTTCAATGTTTCAAAGATAAAAGCCTCTCACTATAGAGCATGATTTATGTGGATAAATCCTAATGTAATTTACAGGCTTGATTCAATTAAATGTATTCACAACTAGAGTAGAGTGCATACCTCTTCCAATGTCCAACGGCCCCCTTAAATTTAATCCATATGCACTGAATTGCCCACACCGAAATATTCGCTCCCAATTTTTTTTCATTAAGATCCATTAATTATTCCCTGGGAAATATCAGGAAACTCATCATCATTCTTGGCCCATGTTCCACCATCCAGCCAATTCCGTCAAAAATCTGTTGCATAATCCTGCAAACAAACAGACTGGGGTGAAAACAAGTTCCTTGGCAGATAGAAATTGTATATGTAAATGAATGTGAACTTTCCCTGACGTTTGAACTAATGCGAATCACTTTAAGACTTTATTGTGATGAAGCAACAGTTAGATAAGTTATGACTTCAATGATGATGAGGTAGGTTGTCCACAAATATGCAGCGACAATGATTTGCCTCTGATGATTACTCGTGAAATTTCTGAATGTTACATAATGAGGCACAGAGTACTGGTTTATGGACTCAAGTCAAAACATTTTTGACTCGAGTGCGACACAAGTCCATAAATCAGCAGCTTGAGTCCTTAAAGAATTACCACCAGTTTTTGGAAGATAACCTCATGTTGACCAGTCTTGCAAAAACTTTGTAATTCCTTTTAGCAGGTGTGTATGTTTCAGTGTTCAGCGGTGGAATGATTTGTGTGGTGCATCTGGGGCTGTTGTTGGCTCACGTGTCCAAAGGTTTTACCTTCAGGATGTTCTGTCCTTTCTTTTTGCCTTTCCGACCTCCCTCTTCTCTCTCCTGTGTAACACTCACCTGGTCTCCCTCGCTCCCTGAGTTCTGTCTCCACTCCCTTGGTGTCCCCGTTCACTCCTCCTTGTCCTTATCTGGCTCTCTCAGGTTCAGGCCCGGACCTACGGTCAAAGCCCGCCGTCAGGGCTCGGCCTGCACCCGAGCCACAACTGGTCCTAAAGGGTCAGGAGGGTGAGTGTGTCCGTCCATCGCTCTGCTTCTCGGACTCGCTCTGTTTGTCTGTGTCTCTAACAAACAAGATTATGCTGGTGTTGCTGGAGACCTCTGAATACTGGGTGGTTTTCTCAACAAGAAAACAGAGTACTCCATTTGTGTTGTTATGTTTGCGACTGATGCCTCACATGTTCTTTATCTCTGGTTATACTCGGACAGTTATACACAGGTTGTGTAGATGTATTTTGGAGCTTCTTGCGTTGATGTGGTTGGGATCCTTCCCTCCGTCTGAAGCTTGGCGGTTGGCAGGTTGAGGTGAAGAATCTCTGACCCATGCGGCACTGCTCTTCTTTCAGGTCGTGAGCTGCGTGTAGTGGTGAATACCAACGACCCGGACTACGAGCACATTTACTCCATCGAGGCCTACGACGACCCCATGGATGAACTGCTCTACTTCGAACCCCCTGCCAATCAGAGCGATGGTACTGTGTGTTTCATGCTATGTCCAATGTCATCATGTAGTTAATTAGCGCTTTCCAACACCCTGAGCTACCCCTCTACCTCTTGAGCCACAGCCGCCCACAATAGACAAAATATAAGATGAAGGAGGTTGTGAAATACTGTGATGTCTCTTTACACTTTAGCAACAAATCTGTTTCACGTGCTCAACAGAGGCTGGCGTGTCAAATTGTATTTGGTTTATTCAATTGGCTCATAATACAATTTGTGCTGGAAGAGCACGTCTGCTAATTAGTGTCTGTGTTTCACTTTGTGCTCATTTCATGACATTATGAAAACATGTCAGCTGCAAGCACACACACCACCCTGAGCCCGTGACCTTACAGCATCACTTTCTGACTGTATCATCACATTAATGTTTCGTTCTCTTTTGTATGTTTCTGCTGAATGTGTCTACACTGTTTCTCTGTGTGTGTGTGTGTGTGTGTGTGTGTGTGTGTGTGTGTGTGTGTGTGTGTGTGCGTGCGTGTGTGTGTGTGTGTGCGTGTCGACAGGTGAGGCTGTCAAAAAGGAATCAGAGAAAACAGTCAAAGTTGAACCAAACAAATCAGCCAGTGCTGACAAACAAACAGCAGTGGCTGCTGGTCAGAAACCAGTCAAACAGTCCAAATCAGTCAGGGCCAAGAGGAGAGTCACAGGGGAAGGTAAACCAGCTCATGTGCCGTCATCTCAGTTTTGGATGGAATTATGGTTGATCTCTGCTCGCCTGGTGTCTGGCCCTGTCTGTGTGTCTTAGGCTGCCCTGCTGTTGATTTAAGCTGCTTTCAGACATGCACTGAACTGCTGATATTCTCTAGAGGGGGTGTATGTAAGAACACCAACATGCAAGTGAGAGGCTCCAGACTTTCTCACACGCCAGATGCAAAAATGAAATTTCAAAAAAACATATTCCAATATCTCAGGATGGAAAAGTGGAGCCATACAGGTAGAAGACACAGACGAAGATGTCAAGAGAGCTTTTGGTGATGAGAGCTGACGCTAGTGTCAAGGTGCTATAAAAATACACATGTGATCTCTGCAGCGGAATTAAAAAGTCCTTCCTCTGCCTGCCAGGTGTTGTTGTGAACACGTCTGAACAGAGAATTTTCTACTGCCTTGTGTGACAGGGAAACTCCAGAGAACGTCTGGACCCAATTCTGCAGACATCCTCCAGACTTCATGTCTGAAAACAGCTTTAGAGGCATATTTGTTTATACTACAACAAATCTTTCAATGGTGATATCTTCCTTTGCATTTAAAAATGTAAAATGAATAAAAAGGTTTTTGATTGAGTTTTGATCTTAGTGGTTATGAGTGCTTGTCTTTGGTCCTCTTCTGCTTCCTTTTGCCTCTCTGCTTCTGCTCATTTTTGCCTGGCCTTCCCTCTCCTCATTGTGCATACCTTTTAGGTGTGAATACTTTTTAAGTGTGTGTGTGTTATGCAGCTCCAGCAGAACTATGTCAGCTGCCCATGGATGAGGGGAACTGTGGACGATACACTCTGCGCTGGTACTTTAACCATAAGACTCAGGCCTGCAGGCCCTTCATCTACAGCGGCTGTGAAGGAAACGACAACCGCTTCCTCCACCCGGAGGACTGTGAACAGGCCTGTCTTGGGGAGACTGAAGGTAAACACACTCACTCTAGTTTCTGTCAGGTACTGAATGTATGCATTCTAACAAATGATGTGTTGGGCAGGTCCTCGTCCCTTGAAGACAGCACGATGATTGTGGCCACTTCTCCCTCAGCTGCAGGAATGTCTATATAGCTTTATATGTCTTTTATAGATCATTATTTTGTCCAATGCCAATGGTCAAGATTTGTTTTTGTTTATTTATTGTGTCTTTAAACCCAACCAAACTTCAGCCTGGGTGGAGAGGAGAGACCAGAGAGCCTCCTCAGTTTATTTTCTCCAAACTATGCAATACAGTGTTTATTAGGTTTTAAAAATGTATCCTTATTTTGTGTAGTTGTAAAAGATTTTTAATATTTGCACACTGAATATTATAATTATTTTAATCCCTGATTAACCTATACCACAGTATTGACGTACTTCATTGCTTTAGTTTCATATTGCACATGTGCATGCAGACATGGAGAAGACTGATCACCTGACTGACCTTTTACACTTCAATCCAATGTTTCTTTGTAAAAACCAGTTTGGTAAATCTCATGGTGCTCATCTTTGAGGTTGTAGTTTGTTGTGTTGTTCAGTTATTAGGTGTTAACATCAGGGGTTCCCAATTTTTCAGTCCCTCACCCCCAAAATAACCAGGCCAGAGAAAGGCGACCCCATTATTCCTGTTTTTAATTTCTGCGTCACACATGAACAGCAATTGTAATAATAAAAACTAGAATTTGGTAAAACAATAAATGAACATTCTTAAAACAATATTACTGTTTCCACCCTCTCCTTCCCTCTTAAATGAAACCAAAGACGTTACATTGGAAAATAATCTGAACTCATTCTTCAATTGTTTGGTATTTATTTGTTTCTTGTGTTCAGTTTGTGTCCTAATGATTTGAGTCATTGAGAAAAGCTGCAGCAATCTGCACTCTATTTTCTCTTAGTGCTTCTTGTCACCTTAAAAAATCCCTAATAAAGTGGGTGATGATCAGAGCTCCATTAACGCTGACAGATACTGCTAATTAGAATTCAACTTGCTATGACTCAGCTGTGTTGCCATCTTTGTAATCATGATCTTCAGAGCTGTTGCCTGAATTCATGTGTCGGGAAGGAAGGAGAAAGTCTAAAATAACCATAATTGCAGTCAAACACATGAAAGCTATGTTAGCAAAGAGGAACACAAGTAGACACTTAAGCTACACTTAATGAAAGACATCAAACAGGAAATTATATTAAATGACAAGCTACACCTTTTATGAACTTATCGAACTGGTTGTTAATAAGGATGTTGTGTCTGTTGTAATTATTATATTTACTGTAGCAACGTGGGCTGAGTTGTGTGTTTTTCCCCTCATTAAATTAATGTTTTTAATGTTTCTCAACATACAAACACAGGAGTCACCTCCTATTTAATCATGGTATTTCAATGCTATATCAGTAAGGTAAGCTAATGGCTCTAAAGACAAAGACAATAAGGAATGAAAAAATAACAGAAAAAATGATGAATTCATGCAGAGTTGATTCACAACCAAAAAGTTCATATATTTATTATATTTCCACAAGGTTAAATAAAGGTTATTTAAAGAACAAGAACCAGGTTAAAACTGCAGAAAAATCTATGTACAAACTAGAATACACTCAGCACAGTGCATACCTCAATGTTTATTCAGATATTATTGAAGATGCTTATAAACTCATTCCACCAAGTTCAGTAGAAATGTCTTCAGTAGGTTTAGTGTAATCCTGCCGACAATAATAAATGAATAAATAACTAAATGTTTTATACAATTCAATCTTATTAAATCACAACATACATTATCTCAAGGCACTTGACATACTGTACTAAGTAAAGACCCTAAAAATTGTGGAGAAACTTAACAGTCTGCACAACAAGCAAACATTGGCGACTGTGGCGAGAAAAGAAAACTCAGGAAGTTACCTCGAGCAGAAGCACCTCACTTCAGCCCATAGCATCACACACACAACAGAGTATGACTTATCAGATAGACTCAGATAGAAAAATTAATTAATCCAACCAGATGCTCCCCACTCCTTGAGAGAGCTCTAACTTTAAGTCATCTAATTTAATCAGGGCAGAAACTTCAGAACCTCTAATGTCAGGAATAACTCCCTTCACTTCTCCACACAATTACAACTATTCAAGCATGAATATACTGGATTATTACGCTGGATAAAGTTTTATCATTTGTATTAAATATGAAGAATCAAGCACAATATTCTTAGGATTTCTTTGTACATAATGGTTTTATTATTTGGGGGGAAGCTGAAGCTGCATGTTTACCTGCCAGAGAAAAGGTGCTATTTTTAAATGTATTTTTATACTGTTTATTGGAGATGGAATCGTGTTTTTGTGTGGTGCAAATCATTTTGTCTCTATAGTATTATTAGTATAATGAAACTTTTTAATAAGCATTTCTAATAAACCAAATGTTTTAATAAAAATAAAGTTGGTGTGTTCTTTATAAACACATGGTTATTTTGAAGCTGGTAAATCTGTTTGATTATGACAATGAGAACTAACGATAACGTCTCTGTTTTATTTAGATTATTTCATTATCTTTCTTGATGTTAAGTGCTTACAAAGAATGGAATGTTCCCAGTTATGAAAATTCATGACATACATGGAGAAGAATCAGAGATAAGATACTTGGTACATGTATCTGTACCAGCATGTGTGTGTGTGTGACTGATATAGATGTTCTAATTTAATCTGCAAATACTGAGAGGATTTTCTGCTTGTTGGTCATGAGTCCTCCTCCCTTGGGTTTTTCCACGCTCTCTGCCCTCACTTGATTTCCCCTGGTTGGACACACACTGACACCATATCCACTTCATCATACTTCAACAGGCCTCAAACAGCTTCCTCGACAACCTGCCCTCCTCTTCCTCTTCCTCCACCTGTCTTCATTTCAGACAGGTAGCTCAGTCAGTACCTTATTGTGCTGTAGAGTCGTGTTGGCCGCCTCTATGACAGCTTTAACAAATCATGCACACTGTGTTTAGGACAGGATCACATTGTGCTGACAGTGTCTGTGGATGTAAAGATAAACAGATGGGAAAGGCTCAAATGGCTCAGGTGATGAGCAAAGACAGGCCACAGGGCAAACTGCTGCAGTGTCACACTAAACTACCCCAACTCACACTTTTTGAAATAATGCTGGTACTTTATTTGAAAGCTGGTGTTGTTTTATATTCAGGTTCTCCGTGTTGAATTTGTTTAAAGATTAAATTAAACTTTTAAATTCTAACACTTATCCTGTGGTTTGTACAACAGTCCTCTGAGATGGCTCTCCACCAGATCTTAGAACCTGGCTGCAGGGTTTTACTGTCATTCGGCCACAGGAGCATTAGTGATAATGGCCACGGATGGGCAATGTGGCCTGGTTGGTATTTCCCATTCTACTTCATCTAAATGAGTGTGACAGGATTCAGGTCTATTCCAGTTCTTTTTTGTGTGCATTGTTGTCATGCTAAGAGGAGAGTACCTTACCCAAACTGTTAAGCTGGATGAAAACTGTATGCTGTTACCAGTCGTGGAAGAAACATTTGAATAATTTACTCGCTGACTTTAGCTATTGAGAAGAAAAGCACAGAATAACACCGTTCAAAGTGTAATGTTGACCTACATATCAAGCTGTTTGAATTTTAGTGTGATTTAAAACAATGCTTCATGTTTTTTGAACCTGGTCATATATTTTTGGTTAAAGTTTTGATTTGATTTTGTTTCCTAATAAATGTAGCTGAATAACGCACAATATTTTCCTTACAATTGTACTCTACTTTCAACTACAAATTAGTAGCATTAGGATTTCGATTTCCCATAAAAACAACCCCGGACCCTAAGTTCACAATAGTTTTATCCGTACACCATACTGTAATTTTTAGCCTGATATTGGTTAATTAGATATATTAATCTTGAGACAGTAAAGTCTCTATAAATACATTCTGTTTTGGGAATAAATACACTTGAACGCTTCATTACAAATCGTCAGCACCCTGTGGTACCACAGCATGGAGTTTAACAGTACCTGTATAGGATGTGAAGCACTTTGTCGCTTCATCCTCCAGACCTACTAATGTAATGAACTGTTGTTTTGACTCGATCATCTGATGAACTTGATATAACTTCAGCAATTTTTGAAAATGCAACATTTCAGACTGTTCAGTTTCAGTCCAAACATAACATGGAAATATATCTCTAATTGAGATTCACTCTGCTACATTGGGGGCTCCTGGGGGCTCTCTCGCTAAATACACTGACACAGAGACACACTCTGAGTCCGTGACTCAGGGTTGTCCTTCACAGACCTATGCTAATGTGTCTCTGAATGTGGGGTACAACTGAATTGTAAATTAATATGGACTAAGTGCCCGCCTCACTGCATCCATGCATGCACTACGATATAGGCCATATCCATTTTGTTGTAATTCCCACCATAAAAGCAACACTGTCAGTATAAAAATTGAACTTGGGGTGGAATATTATTGAGATTATGAGTCTTTGCATACAAAATACAAGGCATGTTCAGAGCTGTAAATCTGATATTTTAAAATACAAAAAGATGGATATTATATCAGGTTATATTGTTCTTTCTATAAATCTAAAAGTGTTAGCCCCCCAAATGAAGTACAATAGGATTAAATCCCCCTCATTTTTATCCATGACCCTTCAAGGGTACATCCCATCTTCTCTCAGCCTTCTGCTGGTAAGTAGTGGGTCTTGCGGAGGACAATCATGAACATGCTCTGAGTACAATGGTGGCTCCCTCTGTCTGTGTGAGACAGAACTGCTTTTCCTCCCCACTCGGATGCAGGGTATATGAAGGAACACGTTCAAGAGTTGTTCATTTTTCCTCTTCAGTGACCTTGACTGTTTAAAGCCCCCGGGTCCTGGGGTTGGCAGAGAGCTCGATTGGTAGAACCAAGAGAGAGGAGCGAGCCAAAGTCTCTCTCTCTCTCTCTCTCTCTCTCTCTCTCTCTCCCATCACTCTTCTCACTCTTGCTCTTTTTTTTTCTCCTGCCACCCACTCCCCTCCACAAGTACAAAGGCTGTTGCTATAGCAATGAAACATGCTAGAAATGTGCTCACTCTCACTTTACCCCCTCAGCCATATAAGCATATGATCCGTATCACTTGCTCGCACATTTTGCTCATCAAGCAAAACACAGGAGCCATTCATGCGTGGGTCCTGTTGAGGTATATATATATATATACACTTGTTCATCAATACACACTTTTGTGTGAGGAAAAAAGAAGAACTGCAGGATTAGTGTAAAGCTTGTGTGTGCTGTTCACAGCACATTCCCCTCAATGCTTTGACCCTAAGGTTTATGTATTTCATCTCCTGGAGTTTGAGGGTGATGACGGGGCATCAAGAGTTTTCTCTGTCTTCTCAGTGTAAGCTCTCAAAGTTGTGCGAGTTGAAGCATTTATTCAGTCTATTGATCCGAGCATTTGGGCTCTGGATGTGCTGAGCACTTTCACACAAAGCACTTTCAATTAGAAATGGGTGTTATACTCCATCACGTCTCGGCTCACTTCATATTTTATTGACTTTATTATCAGAGTTTTATTCATAGAAAATTTGAGCTTAATGAGGAGTTTCAAAAACTGTTTAAGATCTGAGGAGATCATTATAGATGTAAATTGAAAGTCTGAGAGCCATTAGCCATGCATTGATCTCAAGATTCAGCCAGAAGCTTTCTGGTTTCTAGTTTGACCAATCATGTTTGAGCATGCGTCGGTTACCTGTGCCTAAACATTCAAAGACAGACAGCAATTAATAATGTCGTCTGGACCGTAAACACTTACAAAAAGTATTAGTTTGTGTTAAGAATTGTTTGACTCGTGTGATAAAAGAAACCAGCCAGACTGTAAACAGTGAACGGTGAATGGATGGAGCCTTGACTCAGATTTCCACTGTACCGGTAGCCCCAAAATATTGGTCGTTGCCCCCAGAGGCAAAATCATCATTAGACTATGGCCAATTTACTCTGAGGTTAGTTGCACAAGATTTTTCATGAAACAACTTATTGCTAATATCATGCAGCACCTCTCTCTCTCTCTCTCTTTCTCTCTCTGTCTCCGTCTCTCTTTTTCTGCTATTTCAACACTTTGTTTATGTTCATGATGGAGACAGTCAGGAGAGGAGACAGAGAGTGATGACAGTGTTGTTTACTTTCTTAAATTTTTCCTCCAGCAGATGAGTCAGCTATTAGCATATTCTCTTCATTATGGCGGTGATGAGCACGGGCCACCTGAGTGTCACAATGCCTCAGTCCTATTAAAAGGCTCTCATGGGATGTCTGAGGCGCATGATCCTAAATTAGCATATGCCATTTCTCATCTCTCCTTACTGTCATTCAGCTGACCATGCTCTGTATTTCTGCTTATGCTCAAACTACTGATGGCCCAAGATTTTTAGTTTTTAGTTTTCAGGTCTCTGTACAGCCAATACTCTCCCCTTCCTATCTTGTGCCACTTTTCTTCAATCTTTTTTCCCTCCAGGCATCCACTTCCCTCTCTTGACTGTTAGCAAATCTGTAATCTGTAATTTTGCAGCTGACTAGGAAGCAGAGAGTGGTGGAAAAGTAGCTATTGCAGAAGAGAGGGGGGAGATGGAAATGAGACAGAATCGTGTGAGGCCCTTCCTGCTCGCTGAAACTTGTGCGACACAGACAAGATGTATTCCTGATAGTGTGGTGTAACATGTTGACTAAATGAACCTGGGTATCTATAGCTGCTTTAAGACATGTACTGAAGTGAACCATTTTTCTGATTGTCCAAAGGGGTAGTTTTGAGAACGCAAATGTCTGAGTGCTTTTCCTGCCAGCCCCATAGTAAAATGTCTAAAAATGTGAGCCCATGTGAGAATACATGAGGAGCTTTATGGAAAATTCACAGCAAGTGAGTGGGCATACTATTGATCATTTTAACACTTGACTGAGGTGACAACTGGAAGAAGACAAATATTTCAGAATGAAAATATTTGTAGAAGACAGCAACGAAGATGTCATCCTGGAAAGATACACAAGATTCGAGGGGTTTTGGCAATAAAGGCCAGGGGCAATGTGTAGCTGATTTCTGCAGCTGAATTTAAATGTCATGTCCTGCCTCATCATGACATCAACATGCCTTGGAGTTTGTGTGTGTGGTTCATTCATAGAGCCCTAGTTATTTGCATTACTGACAGTAAAAAGTAGTTCCATCCAACTGGCAAGTACCCAAATTAGTGTTGCATGTGAAAATCAATCTTTTGAGAATCAAACCTAGGGCAGACACATTTGAGCTCAAACGTATGGATATCAAGTATCGATCTGTACACCATTACTACTCAGGCACAACCCCTCGCCTGATTATTCCGGGATGTTTCCTGTTGTTGTGAAAGCATCTGATTCAGAAAACCTCCTGCTTTACGTTCCTCATATGTAAAAG